TCTCTTAGGCTTGCCCATTGCTGCTTATTTAGATGCTGGAAGGATTAGTGCTAGTCAAAATGCACTGTGCACTGATGGGGTGGAAGTTTGGAATCAGGAAGGAAAAAAAAAGGCTTTGCCTCCACTCAACGTAGCTGCAATTAGGAGCTTAGCATTTGGAGGAAAAGTGTTGCATCACATATTCCATTACATTATAGAATAATGATATAGTGGTTCTACAAAGCACCCAGCTATCATGCCACTTACAGATAAGCAGAAGAACTTGTCAGAACTCAGGTACATATTATGACACAAGTTCATTTTACCATGGCTTGTTATTTTTAATTCCTTATGTTGGGATAAAGGATTCCAATTTCTCCCAATCGCCTTGAAGTTCATATGACTGCCTTACCAGCTTGGGGCAGAATACACTGTGCAATGACATCCCGCAGTTTCTCTAGAGCGACATTGGCATCCTCTGCCTCATTCTCCGGATCGTGAATATAGACATCATCCTTGGGCCTCGTGCTGTAACAAAATGACAATTTATTATGGCGGGGGACAAGTTCCTCTATGAACAGGCGCAATTAGCCAGCCAAATCTGAGACACATTTAGTGGGCTAAGACATTAAACAGGCTTATTTTCTTAAAATAAAATATAAATAAAAAAAGGAAGAAAAGGCAGAAAGAATTAATAAAAATGAAAAGCAATTAAAAAAAACACGAGAAGAGCGACGGGAAAACTGACATTACCCATCTCGCCCCCACTACAAGTGTGCCATCTATCAGGCGATCGCGCTGTGGCACTGGTGATGGTCATTGGAGAAGTCCGACGTCTGGATTGCCTGCCTCACCTGCTGGCTGAAGGAGGCTATCTGGAGGCAAACAGCCATATGAGAAAAACAACAATGGGGAACATTTAGGGAAATGTTATTTTTTTTAAATCTTCTTAAAGGGGAACAGTCTTCACTTGAATCATTGTATAATCCTAAATGTGATAAAAGGACATCCCTCCTCTTGGAAAGATTTCATTTCAAATCTGCAGTTCGTGTATTCCTCTTCACAGGTCCGATAACAGCTGACTCTTCATTACACCCCATGCATTCAGCAACACATCTGCAGTGAACATACTAAGCTTAACCCACCTGGAGTCCAACAAGGACTCCCCTGATGAGTTTGACAGCTCCAGTATTCACTCACTATAAAAGGCTTGCCAAAGAAAGCCAGAACTCTAGCTCTCAGATTATGTCTGGCTCTACACTTCTATTAATAGTATTTTTTTCTGTACACTTACTAGCATCTCAGTCTTGCCTGGATCTTATTTTATGCTTTAAAACCGCTAGTCAGATGGAGAACCAGGATTGTCGTTTTGTGCAGCCTCTCCTGTGCTGGGACATCATGAAGTTCCATGTCAATAACAAGGGACGACACTATCTAGGAATTCAACAAGCCTGGAGTGTATTTTACTCTTCCATTCAGATCACTGCTGAAAATGCCAATAAGATATGATAAGCAAATTTTAAAATCATGAAACGGGAGTAAAGGAGGAGCAAGAAACCATGTGCGCCATTCTTTATAACGCTTAGGACTGCATGTCAATTCAAATGAACACAGTTTCCCTTTAAGGAGGATTCAACTGTTGCAGTATTGGTGAAAAATTTGAACATGGATTGTAACAAGTTTTAGAAAGAGTCCTCTTGGAACAAAGTCCATTTCAAATCAATCCGTGCTGTAACCAAAAGTTTAAGAGCTCACCGATGACTTGCTGGGTAATTGCCCTTATACAATGAGGCACTGAGCCATACAGACCAGGAAGCTCCCAGTACATCCCTGGTCTGTGTCAAGTTAGCTCCTAGCCAAGGCAGGAGCTAATGGCTTCAGTCCCAGGCTAGAAAGTAGTGGAGGGGTGGAGACCTAAAAGTTTCAGCCAGGGTTTCCACTAGTGCTTTACCATGTGCATATCTGAAGAAGAAAGGAATGGGAATGGCTGTGATTCTTCCTCCTGCCCCCATGATAAAACAGACTGCTTTTCTCTGTCGCCCAGGCACACACATGAACAATGTACAGCTGGAATAGGTACTAGGGTAACCACTAACCATGTAACCGTACCCCAACTCAAGTCTGAGCCTTATGATCAGGTAGGATTAAACAAAAAAGATCCAAGAGTCCAATATAGTTTAAGCTAATATTTCTGAATACCAAGCTTTCAACGTCACGAAACATAACACAACACATTTGAATGTGCAAATTAAATGTTAATTAGGAGTCATCATACAGCACAGCAAACATTTTGTTCTTTGAACTACTTGTAGTTAAACAGTCTGCAAATTCAACATTTGCGAAAAGAAAAACAATAACCCAAGTTACTGTTAGGTACATAAAGGAATCTTTATCAACCATACTAAATATTTTGTGGTTTCAGCTTTCTAAACCTAAATGATTGTGCTCGCTTTAAATGTTTTCATCTGTAAAACTTGGACAGAGTCAACATCTTTATGCCACAAGTCATGCAGACTGATCAGCCAATGAGAACACAACTGACTCCTGCATCCAATAATAATCCAAGCTCCTTAATTCAATTCCTTAGCTGAATCCCCCAGTCTTCAGGACCATCCTTAAGCATAGTCCTTGGACCTCTGAATTGCGAGATATATTGAACAGAATCAAAAAAAATCTTTTAACTGCTTCAGGTTTCTAAGATGCTGTTTTAAGTAACAAATCATACTGCTTTTTCTGGTCTTTAATTTGCAATAACATCTTTGATTTATATGGCATCTTTTAAACTTGGGTAAAAAAAAATCAGGGTGATTACAGCTTTATAACATTATTCTATACACATTTAATATAGTATAGTTTCAGAGATTTGTAGAAGAGATAAGTAAATTTTCCAACAAGGAAAAAAATTAATACTACAAACGTATTCGAGCTATTTTCAATTTTGTTTCCTCCTGTCCTGACTACAATATTGGGGTGTGTATGTTCTAGCAAGCCCAGAAGAGTGTGTCAGCACACTATTTGACCACAAAGGGCATCACAGCCAAACTCAATCCTGTCCTCATATGGCATCCAAGTATTTCTGCCCAGCATGAACAACTTGAAAATGACCAGGAGCAAGAACAATGGTTGATTTACATCTTCCTACCCAATAGGTGCTGAGGCTAAGCATAAAACCTCAACCGTTGCCCTGTGAGGTCACTTAATTTAGTGCACACAATCAAATCTGTGAAGTCCTAGTCTGTACAGCTTAGTGGTATATTTTGCAGTGCATCGGAGGAGCTCAGTTTTCCATTGCAAAACATTTTAGTGGACTCCAGATATAAACTCACATACAATCCTATGAAAGCAAAGAATGTGAGCAAACCAAACCACCTCTTATTCACTCCCATTCTTTACAATTCCTGAAACAAACATGAAATATTTCCAATCTGCAATGGTCTGCATGATTAATGAACTGGTTAATTTCATCTTCATATTTTTCCAAGTCTGATTACTTTTAGTAGAGAAAGATTTTGCTAAATGGGGTGCGATTAGGACAGCTTGATGGCCACGCATATACAAAATAGTTATTCTGTGTGTGTGTTCTGCAGAATTTTTTGCAAATTAATTCCGTTATTAGGGTTAGACTGTAACCTGGAACAAAGCTATAGTGGATGGGGAAAAGAATGAACAGCTTTGTTGACAAAGAGAAGAAATACAGTAACTGTCTAGGCACACCACGATCAAACTATTCAATCCAAGTGCAGCACAGAGGAACAAGTAAAATAGCAGCGTACTTTCAATTCTCCTCACCTAAAGATGCTAAATTTAGTTGCTGTACAATTTAACAAGAGCCTTGGCAGTCTGTTGAATACGAAACACTCCACATTTTGTCTGATTTTGATACATGAAGATTTTTCATTGGGGCTGCTGAATAGTGCCCAAAGCAGGAATCCCAGTATCCCTGCTCCCACCTCAAGGTACTGAGGCAGGTTTTTGTAACCCCACTGCTACCTGGCTGGAGTCAATTAGCACAGGGAATGAAAATAACTTGGGCTTTGCATGATGTTCTTACACTTCAACAATCAGGAGAGTTCAAACTGGAATTAAACTTATCCCAATTTGTTTGTTCCTCTGTACTTGATGTTACTGCATAACTAAGACCTTTGCCATGGTTAAAGGACAGATGGTATCCTTCATTGTCGAACTCTGCAAATAGAAGTAGTACAGTAGCCACAGTGCACACATCTTGTTCAACACAAATTCTGCTAGAAATTAAACAACATTTTTCATCAATACACATGTCTAAGCTGAACATATTGCATTTAGTAAAATACACTTACCCAAATAGCTTCCTCTTGCGAAGAATTGGGTTATTTACAGAGTTTAGAGGTTTAAGGCTCACTTTCAGATCCTGAATTCTCATACTGGCCAGCTGCTCTGCATGGGCCTGCTGGATCCCAGCAACCATTGCCTGTGACACAGTTTCATCATCAGTACAAGCTGTATTACATGACAAACACCAGCAGACAGTACCTTGTAAACAGAGCAGCAATTATAGTGACAACCACACAGCTTCCTTTAACCTAGGAATGAAACATCTGAGATGCAAGTAAAGCTCAGCCTACATCCTTCAAGAAATAACAAAAAGGCCTGTGCATCAGTTATCGCAAACACACGAGACTGAAAATTCTCAAATCTAAAATATTATCACCTGGGATTTAAATCAATGCTTTAATAATAAAAGGAAAAGTACGAGAAATACTAACCATTACATAATACATTACATATAATGTTAGAGATAGACAAAGTCACTGTAATTATGCTACAAAATATCAGCTACTTGCTGTGACAATGTCATCAATAGTTACAGACAATTCACCTTGTCCATCATCATTTGGGAGGATGGAAGAATGTTATCTAAAGCTTCTGTGGAGTTCAGCCAGGGATGATCCAGCACCCCTTCAATATTTAGTCGTTCTTCCGGCTTTACCTTCAACAATCTGCAGGAAAGAACAACGTACGCTAAAACTCGAGTTTGGATAAGAAAAAAGTTCATAACTTTTTTTGAATCTACTAACAGATATAAATACCATATATAATCAAACCAGAAAACGATGGGGCAACAAGTTACATACATATATACGGTAGAACTATTCACCCTACATCAAAATGCAAGGTCCACAGCAAAGTCAGCTTGATGGCCAGTTTTACAAATTTGATTTGATTTTCCATAATGCCTTCAGTACTACCAAGGACTCATCTTACTACACAACAACCAAGCTACCCAACTCACTTTCTCACAATGTCCTTTGCCATTTCAGAAATCTGACTCCACTCTTCTTCTGGGAATTCAAAACTTCCTGTCATGATCTTTTTCCGCATGTCCTTCGGGATAGTCCGGCTGTGGTGTTTGGAATAAAACGGTGGATATCCACATAGCATCACGTAAATTATTACACCCAGCGACCACAGGTCACAGCTCTGAGATAATAAAGAAATATAAAAAGTAAACTTTTTAATGTAAAAGATTTTTCATTAAGTTTGTGGGAAGTTATCAATTTACTTCATGAATTTATCTAATATTGATTCCCGCTCTTCCTTGGATCCTTCGCATCAATTGTGTGGAAAGAATGGATATGTCACTTCTTGGTCTCAAGTGCTGGCTGGTATGAACAGTGTGCTCGCTTATGGTGACATGCACTTCAAGCCAGCCTTGGCGGAATTCATATCAAAATAGGAATCAGAAAAGGGTTGCCTTTCAGCCTGCGCCCCAATCTTCAGGGAGTATTATAAAAAGAAAGTTTACAAAATTATCACAGGGCTTGACAGCGTAGATGCAGGAAAAGTGATTTCACTGGCCATAGGGTCTACAGCCAGCGGACAGACTCTCAGAATAAAAGGCAAAACGTTTAGGTCCGAGATGAGGGGGAGCTTCATTCAGAGAATGGTGAACCTTCAAAATTCTTTAGCACAGAGGGTGGTGGAAGCTCAATCATTAAGTAAATTCAACTCAGAGACTGATAGATAGAAAATCACAAATAATATCAAGGGATATGGGGATATGCATGAATACAGCAATGAGGTAGGTGATCAACAGAGACACAGAATGCCTGAACAGGCTCGAGGGGCTGATTGAGCTACTCTCTCTCTCTATTCCTAACGTGGTTTTTTTTTTTTTAAAATTCACTCATGGAACGTGGGCATCATTGGCTGACCAACATTTATTGCCTGTCCTTAGTTACCCTTGAGAAGGTGGTGGAGAAACCCTTCTTGAACCACTGCTGCAGTCCATATGCTGTAGGTTGACCAACAATGCCCTTTAGGGAGAGAATTCCAGGATTTTGACCCACGACAGTGAAGCATATATTCCAAGTCAGGATGGTGAGCGGTTTGGAGGGAAACTTGTAGTTGGTGCTATTTCTGTGTATCTGCTGTCCTTGACCTTCTAGATAGAAATGGTCATGGGTTTGGAAGGTGCTATCTAAGGCTCTTGGCTGAATTTCTGCAGTGCATCTTGTAGACAGTACACACTGCTGTTACTGGGCATCAGTGGCAGAGGGAGTGGATGTTATGCCAATTAAGCATGCTCCTTTTTACTGTATGATGTCAAGCTTTGAATGTTTTTGGAAGCAACCATCCAGGCAAGTGGGGAACATTCCATCGCACTCCTGATTTGTGTCTTGTAAATGGTGGATAGACTTGGAGGAGCCAACCTGCTTTTATAGCCACTGTGTTTATGTGGTGAGTCCAGTTGAGTCTGTGGTCAATGGTAACCCCAGAGATAGTAAACACCAATGAATGTCAAGGGGTGGTGGTCAGATGGTCTCTAATTGGAGATGGTCATTTCCTGGCATTTGTGTGGTGCGAATGTTTCTTGCTACTTGTCAGCCCAAGCCTGGATATTGTCCAAACCTTGTTACATTTGAACATGGGCTGGTTCAGTATCCAAAGAGTCATGAATAGTGCTGAACGTTGTGCAATTATTAGCAAGCCTCCCCACTTTTGATGGAGAGAAGGTCATTGATGAAGCAACTGAAGATGTGGAGTTAGGCCACTACATTTAGGAACTCTTACACCAGATATGCTGGGTTGGGATGACTGATCTCCAACAACGACAACCATCTTCGTATGTTCCTGGTATGACAGTGGAGAGTTTGCCTAGCCCCCACCCCGACAACCTTTGATTCCAGTTTTGCTAGGGCTCCTTGGTGCCACACTCAGTCAAATGCAGCCTTGAAGTCAAGGGCTGTCACTCTCACCTCACCTGTGGAATTCAGCTCTTTTGTCCATATTTGAACCAAGGCTGTAATGAGAGGTCAGGAGCTGAGTGGTTTTGGTGGAACCCAAACTGGGCATCAGCAAACAGATTACTGCTGAGTAGGTTCTGCTTGATAGTACTGTTGATGACACTTTCCATCACGCTACTGATGATTGAGAAAAAACTGATGGGGCAGCAATTGGCTGGATTGGATTTGTCATACTTCGCATATAGAGGACATGACTTTCACATTGTCAGGCCGATGCCGGTGTTACAACTGTACTGGAGGATTTTGGCTAGGGGAGCAGCTAGCTCTAGAACACAAATTTTAAGGACTATTGCTGGAATATTGTCAGGGGCAGCAGCCTTTGCAGAATCCAGTGTATTCAACCACTTTTTAATATCATGTGGAATGAATCAAATTGGCTAAAGACTGGATATGATGGTGGGGACCACGTGAGGAGGCGGAGATGGATCATCCAGCTGCCACTTCTAGCAGGGAACTGCTGTGAATGCTTCAGCCTTATCTTTTGCACTGATGTGCTGGGCTTTTCTATCATGAGGATGGGAATATTTGTGGAGCCACCTCCTGAAGCTTAGATCTGACCTGTTGGTGACGGATCACTTGGCTTTATCACTTATTGCCGTTACTGAAAGTAGTTCTATTTGGTTGCTTTACCAAGCTGATATCTCATTTTTTAAGTATGCTTGGTGCTGCTCGTAGCATGCTCCCCTGCATTCTCCACTGAACTAGGGTCGATTCTCTGACTTGATGGTAATGGTTGAGTAGGGGATATGCCAGATCATGAGATTGCAGATTGTGCTGGAGTACAATTCTGTTGTTGATGATTCACAGCTCCTCATGCCCAGTCATAAGTTACTATATCTGTTCAAAGTCTGTCTCATTTGACTTGGTGAAAGTGCCACACAACACGATGGAAGGTATTCTCAATGTGAAGGTGAGACTTAGGCTCCATCAGGACTGTATGATGGTCACTCATGGACAGATGCATCTACAGCTGGCAGATTGCTAAGGATCAGATCAAATATGCTTTTCCCTCATGACCTGTCGCAGACCCAGTATAACAGCTATATTTAGGTACTTTGGGACCCGACCAGCTCAAATCAGAAGTGCTACTACCAAGGCACTCTTGGTGGAAGAAATGGAAATACCCCTCCCACAGTACACTTTGCACCTTTGCCATTCTCAAGTGCTTCCTTCAAGTGCTGTTCAATATGGAGGAGTATTGATTCATCAGCCGAGGGAGGTGGGTATGTGGTAATCAGCAGAAGGTTTCCTTGCCCATGTTTAACCTGAAGACATGAGACATCCTAGGGCAACTTCCTCCTGACTGAATACCACTGTGCCACCACTTCTTCTGGGCGTGTCCAGTCAGTGGCCTGAACATATCCAGGGATAGTGGTGGTTATGTCTGGGATATTGTCTGTAAGGTGTGCTTCTGTGAGTATGACTACATAAAGCTGTTGCTTGACTAGTCCAAGACAGTTCTCCCAATTTTGGCACTAGCCCCCAGATGTTAGTCAGTAGGACTTTTTAGGGTTGACAGGGCTGTTTCTTCCATTGTCTGCTACTGTGCCTATGGTGATGCCAGATGGTCTATCCGGTTTAATTTCTTTGTTGGGACTTCATAACAACTGAAGTGGCTTGCTAGGCCAGTTCAGAGGGCAATTTAGAGTCAACTATATTACTGTGGGTTTGGAGTCACATGTAGGCCAAATCAGGCGAGGATGGCAGACTTCCTGTCCTGAAAGGATATTAGTGAACCAGACAGGTTTTTCCAACAATCGATAACGGTTTCATGACAATCATTAGATTCTTAATTCCAGATTTTTTTCTTTGAATTCAATTACATCATTTGCCTTGCCAGGATTTCAACTTTGGTCCCCAGAACATTAGCTGAGCTTCTGGATAAGTAGTCTAACAATAATACGACTGGGCCAGTAGAAAAAAAGGTGTTATCTTCATTCAGCATTACCTCCATCCTCTTGAACAAGATTAGAGATCATTAAGTTGAGGAGGATCTCAGAAGCAAAGCAGTTTTCACCACCGTAAATATTCATGCCATGTCACCAAACTATTTTCAGAATCTCATGAACCCCCCAAGGTCAGATATATAGTTGATATGATTATATATTAAAAATAAGGCCACAGTATGACTTTTTACTGAAAATGCATAAAAACAATAGGTCTACAAAGGTTTGAATGCTTCCTACACCAGCAACAAGTGCCACAGAAATCAGGAAGGAAAGATATAGAACACAAGGACATAAAGCTCATAGGACTCAAGCAAAAACAAAAAGAACTGCGGATGCTGTAAATCAGGAACAAAAACAAAGTTGCT